CATGCACAACCCTTCAACATGCAAGAAGCATATCGGACCTTCACCTCCTTAGGGTAGAAACTCGTCCTGAACGCGTTAGCCATATTTTCTAGTGAGTTCCCCAAATACCACATACCACACATATCAACTGATCCATACATGCCATACACAGTTGTGAGCCATGCATATCATTCATATATCATAATCAATAAAGTTGTTGTGTGTCGCACATAGTCTTGTCATTATGCTACGGTCCGCCTCATGGTCTTTCTTGGCAATCCGAGGGCCACCCCCTGGGTCTTACAGACAAGTGGCAAGAGCCACCTCTGGGTCTTCCATGCAATCATCACAAAGATAACTAGCATACATACTACTCTCCTTAGCCAATTAACATACAATATGTTAGGAGCCACCTCTTAATCTTTCATGCATAATCCCTAGGGATAACCCTCGGGTCTTCCTACAATACATAAACCAAATGGGTTACCATTGGTGCCTTCGACGCATACAAACAGTAAGGAGACTCACTTCGAATTTTGAAGCATATTGCACAAAAACCTTAGTTGTTGCCCTAACAATTCCCCGAGCTATCTATACCAAAACATCACCTAATTAGGAATTAGGTTGCAACCCATGACCCATAATCCTTACTTGGGGTGAAATGGCCATTTCACCCTCGACCCATCAAGGCCCAAACTATAAAATCCATGAAAGTGTGTCAACAGTCCAATTTTCCAAATTAGGACCAAATCCTTACATGTGCTACCCTTTAGAACCCATTCCATAATCCATAACCCTCCAAGGATCAACCTTGGTCAAGTCAAGTCAAGGTAAAAGTCAACATCCAAGTCGTGGTCAAATTCAACGCTCCGAGTTGACACAACTGGCGAGTTGGCCTTCAACTCGGCGAGTTCCCATAAACCATACAATCGTGATACTACAAATCAACGTTTTGAGATCTCTCTTAACTCGGCGAGTTCTCTTCTTTTTAACAAAATCGGGGCACTACAATTAACTCTTCGAGTTTCTCCATCAACTCGAAGAGTTCTTTAGTATGTTAATCCCTTCTTATTGCATTAAGCGTTTATTCTTCAAATCCGAACCCAATACTCTAAATCTAGACTTGAAATACCTTTTAGAAGGGTAAAGTTTCCATCTTTACCCATTAATCCCTTCCTAAAGAGAATAATCTCAAACCCTAACCTAAAAAGGGCCAAAGTGTTAATCTAAACCACCAAAACTACATGGCAGACCATGAGGTCATAGATCTGGACCATAAGAACCAAAATATCACGTAAACTCCTAAAGTTTGTCGACATGCATGGCCATTTGGGGCTTGAAAGGCCAAAACAAGAGCTTAGAGGTTGCATGGGGGCTACTAGGGCTCCAAAGTTGGCACCTTTATGCCATGAAAGCCCCTCAAGACCCTAGATCTGAATAGGTTTGCACAAATAGGACGTCCAAATCCCAACAACCATTATACTTGGACCAAAACATGAAATAAAGCATCCAAAGATTAGATCTAAGCATTCCATGGACAATATTGAAGCTTTATACATCAAATGAATCAGAAAAGAAGCCTATCTTCTGGATCTACAATCATCCTACACGTTCTTGCTCCTCCTTCAAGCTCCTTCTTCTTCAAACTCACCAAGAATGCACAAGATTAACTCACAATCACCAAAAATGGCTTATTGTTTCGAGGTTTGGGGTTAGGACAATGGAGGATGGAAATAAGTCCAAACCCTAAAGCTTAAGGTGTTTAAATAGGGTGAAAAATCCAGGATTTATGGTTTCCCAAACCCTATCCAACTCGTCGGTTTGATCCTCCTCAACTCGTCGTGTTGGTCTTCCAAAACGTACGCCCCAACTTTCCAACACATCGAGCATCTTGCCCCAAACTCGACGAGTTGATCCTTATAAATGGGGTTTTCACTTCCAAAATATTTTCTTTATTTTGGTATCATGTTGGGTATTTTTTTGTAACACATGTTGTACATGAGCACGTAAAAATGAAGCTCAAAGGGATCAAGTATTTTTCGATTCTCACTAACTATTTAAGTGTCCCTTGAAGGATGTTGCAACATGTTGTCCAAAGCCTCACTCAATCTTTGTTTGTGAAGGCTTAATGAAAATTTTCTTCTATAGATTTCTTCCCAATAGGTTGTATTAACAATAGTCATCGAGCTAACTTTCTTTTCTCAATGTGAGTTAAGAGATGATTTTTTGGTCATATTTTTAGTAGATGTATCATGTTTATCCAATTTTTTTCACCCCAAATTTGTTACACCTAGCATACACAATGACGTATATCGCAATACATCTCTAGTCCAGAACAACTAGGATGTAGGTGTGCCAAAAATATATGTATATGATCTCGAAATCATTTTTACCATGATGAGAGTGATACCTAACAAAAATTACACTTAAGGAATTGAGTGTGAACAATTTATTGTTCAAGATTTTCACAAGGAATTGATGAATGAAACTTTATGTTTCAATACACCATTTCAAATGATCAAAATCTCATTTTCATTTCTTGTGCATGATCTTAATGAAATGTACTCATCCTAAGTCATTTCTTCCCAATAGATTCGGTTCTTTATTTTTCTTATGAAATGAGATTTCTGTCTAAACATTTACTGCGAATCTTAGTCACTTAAAAAAAATTTCCAAAGCTTACTTGATGTTGATTACACTAATCACTCAAATATGTTCTTATATTGTTTTGTTATTATGTTAAGTTGCAAACTTGTTTGAAAATTATATCTACCTTCGATACGTGTTAAAAGAGGCGCTTTGATATTTCTCTATCAGTATTCAATTGTATTTCATGGGACACCAAACAAGCACTTCAATTTCTCTATTCATATCAAAAGAATAGTATCTTTGCCTTGGATCATATTGCCTTTATATCAAAGTTTCTTTGATATCACACTTCATCCAAAGTTTCTTAATTTTCTTCTATCTTTTCATTTAGAACACATTGTTACTGAAATTCTCGAGGTTCTGGGTATTACCCACTCATACCAACATTTCGCAAAGTCTGGTTTATGATTTAACTTAAAATTCTCATAGGTGAATGAGACCCAGTCTTAACTATTAAAGACTAGCTCTTGGAAACTATCGAAGTTTGATGACTGTTCAATTTTATTGGTGATATTGAGGTGACCATTAGAAAGTGATGTTATTGTTTCATTATCTTGGATTGAGAAAAACACTCGTTACAGGTATATGTGGATGATTGGGATGATGTTGCTTCAGTTTCATGCTTTACATGTGGAATTTATATATTGGGTATCAGTTCAAATTTGAATTTCATGCCACTTACATCTGGGATTTATATATCGGGTTCTTGAAGCAAGAACCCTAACCCTATTATTCTGATCATCTTCAAAATTCTTTTCTCGATTATCATGTAAACTCCTAATACCGATTTCAATTACTTCAACACAACTAACGACGAGGTTTATGTTCATCATATGAATATTGAATCAAACAATGTTCGGTTTAATCCAATGTTATATGCATACCCTGAAGAATTAAATATGCTCGTTTAATGTTTGAACGATTTAATTATGGCTCATACTTTGATGTCTTCTTTAGCAATTCTGATAAATTGGCTATCACTTGCATGATCTACAGTTTTTTAGAACAAGCAAAATGAAATTGTTACATTTCATATGGAATCCAAAAGCACCAAACGACAACAGAATAAGCAGTTCTCACATATTCTTAAAATGCCATCTAAGGTTTCATTTGAAGTTCCTTCGTTTGAATAGGTACTTCAGAGGCTTAATGAAATCAGCTATAATATTCCAATGTCTCTAATTTACATCCTTAAGAAGTCCAATATTCCAATTATGTGCAATATTTTCTTTGGGTTTACTCTTCGTTGTTAGACTGGAAGGAGTTATGAACTTGATAAAGAAAAAATTCAATTTTATTCTGTCATCGTTGGTTTGTCTTATAGAGTGAAGGTTAACTATGCTTCGCTATTATGGGTTAATTTTACATCCTATGTACAACATTCAAAGAAGACTATTGAGATTACTAGTACCCATTTTTGGAGTATAATTTTTGCATGAAGTGTACAGCTAATTAGGAATGATGATTCCTGAAGGAGTTAAAGTTACTCAGTTCTCATGTCTTCATATTCCTAAGGTTGAAATAGATGATCCTTAAGTATTTCCTTCTGTTGGAAGAATGGCAGATACTATGTTTTGACTGGTGTTTGATTCAAACTAGTTATTTATAGTAACAGAGGGTACAACTAAAGATTATCATGTTGTTAAGAACAAAGCACCATCCAAATCCGAGATCACTATTGATACTGGTGTTTCCAATTCAAGGGTTAAGGAAAAAAAAGAAATCGAAATCGAAGTCTGAAGGTGTTATCATTAAGGAATTTACTGATGAGGAGGATCAACAGAACAAGAAACATAAGGCTATAGGGGTGTTGAAATTTTTTAAGAAGTGAAGGGACCAAACAGTCAATGACCTTTCCACCACAGCAAATCCTATAACAAAGGTTATTAAAGGAGATAAGCATAACAAATATACGAATGAAGAGGTTACTGAAGCTGATGATCTAACATATAGTGTTTCACCACAAATGATTCCACTGTTGAATCGAATACCAAGGAGACAAGCAATCCGGATATTACAGCGCACACATCTGATGTGGATATAAATATCATATCTAGTGAAAATACTTCAACTTTTATTCCTTAGTTGACAACTATTATTCCACCTAAAAGTTCTATTGTCAAGTCCAATACAGAGGCGGATAGGTCTCTAAACATCACTGAGAACTTATCTAATAAGTACTCAAATGTTAACATGGGTGAGAATGCTTCGACATTTGCTCCAGTGTCATCAAGTGCTTTATCACCACCATCGTCACCACAACCATCTTTGATTGTACCACCTACAACAGTTCCCATTATTCTCCTATGTTTAACAATATCATGCATCAAACCATTACTATGTTGTTTTCTTTTCAATCCACTAATCAGGATATGATGGATGTTGAAGAAAATGAATATATTGAGTTTGCTGAGTTGGAGTTTGATTCAAAAGAAGATGTAGAAGATCATGCTATCATATCTGGAAAGCAATATAAGATCCTCAATTCAAAGCTTAATACGATTATTCAGTTCTTGAATGACTCTTCTGCTTTTACATTGTCTTATATGAGTAAAGAAGATGTTTACTTTCTATTGAAAGGTTAAGAAATGAAGACAAAGAATCTTATTGCTAGTAGAGTTTCACAACTGGAGACTCGTTTGACTGACAACATGACTTCTTATATTCCTGATATTAAAGAAGTGCAAAATGTTTCTTAGGATAGACATGGATTTTTTGAAAAGGTGATAAACTCTTCGAAAGATTCTATTAAGTTAAATATTTAAGATTTGGTTGATTTGGTGTCAAAAGAAGTTACAAATCTTGCTATGTTTTGTTTGTGAATTCAACAGAATGTTGATGTTCTTCTTGGAGAAACAAGAGCATTAATTGAAGATATTTGTGTTGCTAATCAATATTATGTTGTAGAGTGGAAGTTAAAGAAAGAATTTGATGGGAATTTTTCTTACAAGCATTGATAACTCTTTTACAGGTTTTCATGATCGCTTATCGAAGTTTGATATTCCATCAACAACTTCTCCTTCCCAGGAACAAATGTCTTATGTGGTTTCATTAGTGGAATCTTGTTTTAAAACTCAACTTGCTCCAATCTTGGATCTTGTTCTTCAATTACCCACTAATTTTCCACCCCTATGAATGCTAATGTCACAAGGGGTGATAAGGGTGGTTCATCGATAGATGGACGTGAAGACAAGGGAAAAGTTTTTGGGAATGTGATTACCACACAAAATCCAGTTTCAATACTAATGAAACCTATTATAACAACTTCAATAGCAAATTCCACACAAGTTGATATGTCAAAGCTTCAATCAAAGAAGGTGATAAACATAAACAGAGGAGGCTCAGGTTCTTTGACTATCAATGTAACACCCGGAAACCAAAAGGCCAAATGAGGAAAGAAAATCTCCAAACAAGAAAGAAAGTTATCAAGTTCAAGGGTGAGAACTCGACGAGTAGGAACGATGTCATGCGTGTTTTTGGAAGACCAACTTGACAAGTTGGACTGGGTTTGGAAAACCCAAAATCCAGGATTTTACACCCTATTTATACATCCTAAACTTTAGGGTTTCCAGCCTCCATTGTCCGAACCCTAAGTTCAAAAACCCTAATGCTAATTTGAGTGATGTGACTCATCCTTAAGAGGAACTTAGTGTGTTTTGAAGCTGGCGAAGGAAGGAGAAGCTTGGAGATTCAACAAAAAATTACTAGATCTAAAGACTCCATTTCATTCTTATCACTTTCTGGTAATCAAGTGCCAAGCTTGCTTAGTAACTTCTTGGATCTCTTAATTATCATTTTATTGGGGTTTTATTCCAAGAAGCTTGATCCTTGGATATGGATGTCCCAAGTTAGTACACCATCAGATCCATAACTATGGAGATCATTCACGGCTTAAATGTGAAAACTTTATGGCCATTGAAGCCCCATGCAAGCTATAGGGTGACATTTTTTCCTTTTAAGCTCCAAAAGGCCATGCATGGAAATAAAGGTGGAAGCTTTACGTGTTTACGTAGTGTCTAGGATTTAGATCTCAGTTTTTATGTTTTAGCTTGGAGGGTTGATGTCTTATGGACCAAGATCTGGCTCCTAAAGATTAGGGTTTGAGCTAAACTCATTAAGTAATGGTATTGATGGGTAAAGTTGGAAACTTTACCCTCAAAAGGACATTTTCAGTATGTATTTGAAGTGGGGAGCTCAGATTTGAAGAGTATGGGCTTAATTTATTAAGATGGCCCAAACCGACTGAGGAACTCGTTGAGTCCATAGAGGAAGTCGATGAGTTTAGTCGATTTGTCCTGATTCTGAATAGGGTAGAACTCGATGACTCTAAAGAGGGACTCGACAAGTTGATTCGCCTTATCACGACTATGAGTAGCAAGGGAACTCGACGAGTCACGAGGATGAATCGACGAGTTAAGTCAACTCAGAGTATTGACATTGACTTTGACCAAGTTTAACCCATGAAGGGGTCTTGAGAAAGGAATAATATCTTTGGGATTATTGGATTTTGACAAAGTATTATGTTGGTAATGAGAGCTCGAGGAGTCGTCAAAGCAGCCGTTAGCAATTCCTCATCGTGAGATTCTGCATTTAGCTTTGAGAGGTGAGTTTTCTCCTATAGGAACGGGTCGAAGGCACCAATTTTGGCCTGTTTACGTATATTAGTATGTTTTGGACTAAGTTCCGATGTCGGGGCAATCCCGATGAATATTTATATGCTTGAGAAATATGTATATGTATGTTTCCCAAACTATAATCCGATGCCGGGTGGAACCCGATGAAGGAATGCATGTTTAGTTATACTTGTTGTCTTTGTGATACTTGTATGTGACTGGTAGGGAGGTGAGTATGGGCGGGGTCCCGTATCTCATCATTAGCTGGGTGTGGACGAGGTTCCATATCTCACCATTAGCAGAGTAGGGGCGGGGCCCATGATAGACGGGGCCTCAAGACTAGAAGATATAGTGTTGTGTATCATTCTTTATGTACTAGCATAATTATATGTTATTGTTTGTGTGTGCATAGTGGACGGGGCATGGTAGAAAAATATTTTTATACCGAGCGGGATTCAATGCCTGGCGAGGCTTGATGCCGGACAGTGTCGAATGTCGGGTTGGGCCCGAGTAAGGGGCGTAGGCCTAGTCTATGTGATTTTGGTTTCAGGCACTTCTAGTAGCAAGGGGAAGAGCTCGGGATGACTATAGTGCACACACTATTTATTTAGCCTAGGATGTTTATGCTCCGATATATTTGGAAAATGTTTATGATTTTTTGAGAATAATAGCTTATGACTTTATGTAATGTTTTGATAACTATGGTTTTATTAATAATTTAAAATTAAATTTTTGGACTGTAACTCTGGGATGTTTCAACTTGGTATCAAAGTGTAACATCCCGAAATATCAAGAGTAGAGTTGAAGGGCTAAAAGAGTAAATTGGGAAAGAGTGACTCGGCGAGTCCATGTGCGGACTCGGCGAGTAGAGTCGCAACTTGGTCGCGTGTTAAGTGGCCGACTCGGCGAGTCAGGGTAATGGACTCGGCGAGTAGGCGCTGAGTGGAGAAAACCCTAATTCTCGGGGTTGAGCCTTATATAAAGATCATTATGTTTCCCTCCCAGCCTCTTTATCACCCCTTGAGCCCCAGAAACCCCTAAATCACGAAGAAGCACCATTGTTGGATGGAGTGGAGCTTGGAGAATGTATTTGTGAAGGAATTTTGGGAGATTGAAGGCTTGGAGCAAGGGGCTTTGTTTGAATTCGAGTCTCATTTCAATTAGGGCATTCTTTTGAGGTAATATCTCGTTTTTTGAGCTGCTATTTCTTAGATGCATCATTTTGGGGATGTTGGAGATCATATCTTTGGATGTATTGGAGTTTAGAGGTTAGATCTGAGTTTGCTACCTCAGATCTGGAAGGGAGAAGGTCTAGAGTGCATGAAAGTCCCTGTTTGTGAGTGGTTGATGGAGTCATCTTGTCCCAAATCCTAGCCCAATGTGCAAACGGCTTAGATCTCTTTGGATTCACGTAAAGTTTGCCACTTTACGTGATGGATGGGTTGTAGGAGGCTAGATCTATGTTTTGGATCAATTGCATGGCCTGGAGTGCTTCTGAATGGATTCAGAACGGTGGTACTCGGCAAGTCACATGGGTCGACTCGACGAGTTACTTGCAGATGGCCTGGAACTCGACGAGTTGGAAGAACAACTCGGCGAGTAGGTTGAAGATAGCCTTGGACTCGACGAGTCCATTTGGACTCGGCGAGTCTTGTCGAAGAGTCCCAAATATTCTCTGGTAGAGTCGAGAATCGGTGAGTTGAGGGATGACTCGGTGAGTCGAGTGCGAGTGGACTCAGAGTTGTTGGACTCAGCGAGTCTTGGGGTGACTCGGCGAGTTAGGTCGCAGATTGAATAAAGTTCTGATTATGGGAACTCGACGAGTCACAGAGTTGACTCGACGAGTAGGGTCAGTCAGGAGTTGACTTAGACTGAGGACTTTGATTTCGACCAAGGGTTGGTCGTTGACTTTTAGGGTTTGGTCAGCGATGTGGCCTTTGGGCCAAGAGAGAGGTAAACTAGTCTTTTACCCATGAGAAGGTGTTATGAGAGGATTTATTCTAGTCTCGAGAGTTATATTCATGAGAATATTTGCTTTATGTGTTAGGCGGTGGCGAGTTTGAGATTCCAGTGTGGGGATATCTGCTTTCTGCTTGCCAGGTGAGTCTTCTCACTATACTTTACCTTGAGTAGGTAACCAGATTTATGTGTTCAGAGTATTTGTATGCTATATGTACGTGATGTGTTGTACTGCATTATTTCTATGTGATTTATGCTGTGCATGTTTATAGAGTTGGAACCGGAAGGTTCCCAGAGTTAGAGCCTGAGGGTTCACAGAGTTTGGGTGCACGGACCCATAGAGTTATAGCCTCGAGTGGCTAATATGTGTTATGTGTGGTATTTTGGGGAACTCACTAAGCTTCGTGCTTATAGTGTTTTGTGTGATGTTTTTTTCAGGTTTCTTTCAGTATCACGGGACGGCACCGGCTTGATTGTACACACCAGAGAAAGAGTCATATTTTGGAGGATCCTGGTTTTCTATGCAAGTGAAAATGGAGTCATGTTTTGTAAATCGACTATGAATGAGATTTTAAACAAGTGTTTCTAAGAATAAAATGATTATTTTAAATGAAAATTTTGTCTTGAAATTTACGGTGTTACACAAAGCCTTGCTTTGAGGGATTCGGGCACACTCTTGGGTGTGTCTAAACTCAACTAAGGACTTGGTATTAAAATTTTCAAAAGAAAATCATTTTTATAAAAAGAACTTTGAAAAGAGAACACAATTTTAAAAATAGAAAAGGGTATGGTGCATGCAATGAGCCTAGTTCAAGTAAGTACACCCAAATTACCCATACAAGTTATATTATGATATGTTTATGAGAACCGCATGCTAGATTAGGGCTAAGGATCTAGGAAGCATCCCTTATGTGCCTGTTATATGTATATGAGCTTGTAGATTTGCATGCTAGAATTAGTCAGCCAATGGTAGGATAACCTGTTTAGGGTATGCCTGATTGTATGGGTCTTTGAATTTCATGCTAGTACAGATTCCTAATTAGAGGATATAATGGTTTGATTGGATTATGTTGGTTATTTTTTACCATTGTCAAAATGTTGTTTGCTTTATGCTTTGTGGGACCCCTGGCAATGTGAGGTAGCTACTAAGTGAATATGGTAAGTCACATGGGACACATGTCGGATAATCTCAGAGTGATAGACTTGACCCTATTACACATCTCTCATCTGAGTCAAACCGTTATAGGGATGAGTCATTTACTCAATGGATTATCCGATCACTGTTGCATGTGGCTATATTCATGAGGTAGCTAGCTGAGATTGATGGGAAATCCTTCAGCAGTTGAGGACTGGATGGGGCGCTGAGATTAATGTGAAATCCTTCAGTAGTTGAGGACTGGATGGGGCGGAGATTACCCTTGGGAAATCCTAGGATGAGATTAGTACTAGGAGAAATAGTAGTGAAAGGGGACATGGTGGAGTCGAGGAAACCCTTAAAGAGAGTACAGATAGATGTGGAAGGTAGTATGGACCCATACTACTAAAAGCAGAGGATCCGTATTCGAGTCAAGGAGGGATGAGACAAACCACGTAACCTGTATTGAGTGTGTGATCCCTCGATTGTGATGAGTACTCTGATGGTTGTTATGTGATATTTGAAGTCTGGTGATGCTATGTACTAGACCAGTTGGCCGTTCAGGCTACGGTGAGGGATCAGGATCGGGCTCTTGTGTCGAGCAGCTCGATAAGCAGATGAGAGATTTTATTTTAGCTGAGATTACATGTAGTATTTTAGACCAAACTCCTGTGATCTTTTGTGCGGTCGAGGAGGGAATTTTGGAGATTTTGGATGAGAGTTTGAGTGCGTTCCGCACCAAGATGGCGGCCATGATGGGAGTACACATGTTGACATTCAAGGATTTCAGGAGCCTGTGGAGCTCCAAACTATCATGGGGGAGAGGATCCTATTCCTAGCAATCGGTGCTTGGAAAATTTCTCCAATTCCTTTCGTTCTAGCCGGTGTCCTGAGGGGGACAAGGTCCGACTCGCCTCCAATCTTCTAAAGCACAGAGCACATAATTGGTGAGAGGAGGTTGGGCATGCTATTGTCGATGATGTCGCATTGGACGCGATGACATGGGGTAACATCTCGGCCAGGTTCAGGACCGAGTTTGAACCAGTGATGGAGGTGCAACAGTTAGCACGAGAGTTCCAAGATCTCCAAAAAACTACGGAGAAAGTGGCGGAGATCACTGCCATGTTCAGGGAGAGGGCCATTCTTGTTTCACAGTATGTGGTGGACGAGGGGATGAAGAAGGCTAGGTATAACGAGATCTTGAGGAGCAACATTAGACAGCTCATGAGCCGGTCTAGTTGCAAGATGCTGGAGTATATGATCGATCAAGCCAGGGAGTGGGAGATCGACTTAGAGGAAGAGAGGACGAGGAAGCCATATGAGGTTTAAACATCTACATGGTCGAGCAAGAAGCCCAAGGGATAGGATTGTGGATTGAGAGGCCATCAGGACCGTAGCCATTATGGAAAGTGCGTCAGGACATTGGAGGGTGCATGTAGGAGTGGTAGTGGTGGTGATTTTGGTTGCTTCAAGTATGGATGGATTGGTCAGATTTCAGGGATTGTACTCCTACCACAATCCAGGGATCAGACCTGATTTACTTTCATTGCATTCAGAGGGCCCACAAGAAGGCCCAATGTCTAAGTTTGGTTGCAGCAAAACGGGTGATGGCACCTGCCCCTGCGCCATTGAGGATCACTGACGACCGTTAGGGCCAGGCAGAGGTGCCTGTGGTGAGGAGCAGGGCTTTCCACTTGACAACAAAGGAGACACGAGCAGCTTCCGATGTTGCAGGTATGTATCCTTTGCTTTCTTATCTGTTTTTATTTATGACTTTATTGTTATTGCCTAATATCCATATGAGTAATTGTATCTTGGGGTTATATTTCCTTCTTATGTTCGGGTTATATGTCATTTCCATGAGCCTTAGATTAGTAGTGTGAGGTCGTCTACTTATATAGCAGGGTCTTAAGATGCGGTAGCTATAGCAAGTCTAATTGGAACTCGGGAGGTGTTCCGTTAGTCTTAAAGAGTTGTACTACTTTAGTGTTGGTTGGCTTTGAGAACACTAATAGGGGTAAGCATTGGTCTCCAGTTGATTGATCATTGGAGGGTAGATGGATTGGGAGTCCTTCTAGTCTTTTTGTACTGTAAGATTTTAGTCGAATCAAAGTGGGGGAGAATTCTCCAGGGGCTTAGGAACAGAAGGAAGTGTGATTTTAGGATGAGTTCACATTCTCTTCAAGAAGGAAGGTAGCCCAAGTGGCTAATTGGATTGAGGCGTGTGTGAGTTGGGAGTTTGGGAGACTTCCCAACGAAGGGTTCACGTCTTTTTGATGTTCGATAGATGGATTTGGGGACTAGGTTGAGGAAAATTCCCATCAGGACGCGAGTTTAACCAGGATGTTAGGTCATGTGTATGATCGGCGTGGAAAGTGTTGTAAGACTGCGGGATAGCCGTAGCATTTACCAGAATCCAAATAGCATGGAAAATTTTGTAAGACTATAGGAAGATGTTGTAAGACTGCGGGATAGCCGCAACATTCATTAGCGGCCAGATAGCCGAGTGTGGGTGGGAGCCCGTATCTCCCAATTAGCAAAGTGTGGGTGGGGGCCCATCTCTCCTAGTCAACAGAGTGTTGGCAAGACTTGTATCTAATAGTTAGCATGATCAGAATTAGGAAAGAACAGGTAGATAGGATTCAAGGTGGAGTTGTACCTGAGTAGCACTAGATAGGTGAGACCCGGAGGCAAGGCCACTTCGTAGTATGGTTTGGGTGAGACCCATGGGAGAGGCCCATGTGCTTATAGCAATGCAGGTTGGACTCAGCAAGGACCGTTGGATCAAGGAAGGGGATCGGGGATCCTAGGATTTTTAGAGCCGAGAGTGGCAATGTGTATAGGGTAGTTTTTGATAGCCAAAGTTTACTTCGGAAGTCATTGGGAGCGATTGAGAGGACTTTCTTTGATTCATCCACCAGGTGGGAATCCGGTATTTCATATAGTTGGTAGATAAGTCGGGACCTGGGAGGTCTCTATTCATTCGGAAAGCGGACAAGAGATAGCATGGTGTTCAGGTAGAAGTAGTAATGTGAGGATTCTTGTATGAGGAGTAGTTGTTGATCGAAGATGTTCAAACACTTACAGTTGGATTAAATAATCTCATAGTAAGTGATTTGACCCTATTGTGCAGCTTTGGTCGGAGTCTAACCATTTCAAGGATGAATCTTCTACTTGAAGGATTATATGAGCTTTCTGTCAAGTATAAGTATTCTACAGTTGATTATGGATAGGGATTTCGTTTCTAGTGGTAGCGTCGAGATAATCAGGGTGGGAAGTTTTACGGTTGAACAGTTATATGATGAGGTTTTGGCATGGTAGTTTTTGGAGCATAAGCAGTCCGTCAGGGAGACAGACCATTATAGATTTTAGATCCCGGAAAGACATAAGTAGTTCACTTTATAACAGTAAGGATTATCCTTCATTAGGTTTGGAAGATTTCGATGGTTGGGTTCAGTTGCCTTGGAAAGGCCATGGATTGCGCGGGATGATAGTGGTACTTCCAAGATGGCGAGTGTCGGTGGCGGTGGGTAACACCAATTGGTCCAGGGCAGGTAGGAGGAAAGCTGGGTGTGTGGAGCATGAGATGTTTGCGGGGAATGTTATTGTAGCAGACTTCAAGGACAAAGTCCAGTTTAAGTGGGAGACTTGTAACACCTGGAAACCTAAAAGCCAAATGAGGAAAGAAAATCTCCAAAAAAGAAGACAACTCGTCAAGTTCAAGGGTGAGAACTCGACGAGTAGGAACGATGTCATGCGTGTTTTTGGAAGACCAACTTGGTGAGTTGGAGGGGACCAACTTGATGAGTTGGACTAGGTTTGGGAAACCCTGAATACGGGATTTTACACCCTATTTATATATCCTAATCTCTAGGGTTTCCAGTCTCCATTGTCCAAACCCTGAGTCTAGAAACCTTAATGCTAGTTAGAGTGTTGTGAGCCATCCTTAAGAGAAACTTGTTTTGTTTTGAAGCTTGTGAAGGAAGGAGAAGCATGGGGATTAAAGAAGAAACTAGTAGATCCATAGACACCATTTCATTCTCATCACTTTCTAGTAATCAAGTCTCAAGCTTGCTTGGTAGCTTCTTATATCTCTTTATTATCATTTTATTGAGTTTTTGGTCCAAGAAGCTTGGTCATTAAGAGATGCCAATGTTAGTACATCATCAGATAAGGAACCATGCAAGCTATGGGTGACATTTTGGCCTTTTAAGCTCCAAAAGGCCATGCATGGAAACAAAGGTGGAAGCTTTAAACGTTTATGTAGTGTCTAGGGTTCAGATCTCAGTTTGTATGCTTTAGCTTGGAGGGTTAATGGCTTGTGGACCAAGATCTAGGTCCTAAAGAGTTAGGTTTTGAGCTAAACCCATTAAGTAAGGGTATTAACGGGTAAAGTTGGAAACTTTACCCTCAAAAAGACATTTTCAGTATGTAGATGAAGTAGGGAGCTCAGATCTAAAGAGTAGGGGCTTAATCCATTATGATAGCCCAAACAGACTGAGGAACTCGTTGAGTCCACATAGGAACTCGACGAGCTGAGTTGATTTGTACCGATTCTGAATAGGGTAGAACTCGACGAGTCTGAGGAGGGTCTCGATGAGTTGATTTGCCTTATCATGACTACGAGTAGCATGGGAACTCAGCGAGTCAGGAGGATGACTCGACGAGTTGAGTCAACTCGAAGTGTTGAGCCAAGTGTTGACTTTGACCAAGTTTGCCCCGTGAAGGGGTCTCAAGAAAGGAAAGATATCTAAGGGATTATTAGATTTTGACTAAGTATTATGTTGGTAATGGAAGCTCGAGGAGTCGTCGGAGCAGCCATTAGAGATTCCTCATCGTGAGATTCTGCATTTAGCTTTGAGAGGTGAGTTTTCGCTGGTAGGAACAGGTTGAAGGCACCAATATCGGCCTATTTACATATGTTAGTATGTTACGTACTAAGGTCCGATGCTAGGGCAAGCCCAATAAATGTTTGTATGCTTGATGTCTTCAAAATTCTTGCATATGCTTCTTTTATATGTTTCCAGACTTGTTTTGATGTCGGGTAAGGCTCGAAGAATGCGTATATGTATGTTTTCCGAACTACGGTTCGATGCCGAGTGGTACGCGATGAAGGAATGCATGTCTAGTTATACTTGTTGTCTTTGTGACACTTGTATGTGCCTAGTAAGTAGGTGAGTGTAGGCGGGGTCCCGTATCTCATCAATAGTTGAGTGTGGACGGGCTTCCATATCTCACCATTAGTAGAGTAGGGGTAGGACCCATGATAGGCGGGGCCTTAAGACTAGAAGATATAGTGTTGTGTATGATTCTTTATGTACTAGCATGATTATATGTTATTGTTTGTACGTGCCTAGTGGGTGGGGCCCAAAGATAGGCAGGGTCTTGTAGAAACAGATATGTATATCGAGCGGGTCATGAAGCCACTCAGGGCCTGATACCAAGCGAGGTCTGATGCTGAGCACTGTCTGATACCGGTAGGGGCCCGAAGAAGGGGCAGGGGCCCAATCTTTTTGATTATGTGTATGGTATATGGTAGCTTGGGGAGACTCACTAAGTTTTCTGATTACAGTTTTCAGTTTTGGTTTTAGGTACTTGTAGTGACAAGGGGAAGACCTTAGGATGACTGCAGTGCACACACCATTTATTTAGCTTGGGATGTTTTTACTCTAACAAATTTGGCAGATGTTTATGATGTTTTAAGAATAATGACTTATGACTTTATGTAACGTTTTGATAACTATGATTTTATTAATAATTTAAAATGAAATTTTTGGACTGTAAATCAGGGATGTTTCAATCAAACATGTTGCAACTTATGAATCAAAAGGAAAAGGAAAAGGTGTTCAAGTGGATCTTATTAAAGAAAAGAAAAGCATACTTCAAGAGCTTGAAATTAAAAGAATGAAGCAGCTTAACACCAATATGAGAGTGAGATTAAATGATCCACCTTGTCTTAAAAAAGGTGATCCAAACAAAGTATGGTGTTTTGAAACCACTGAGAACATAACTTATGGTGAAGTTGATGCGTTTGAAAAAAGACCACAGAAAATCTATGCCATCGAGGACTAAGTTTTTAATCAATTGGACTTTGTGTTCAATCATTCGATGTTCACATTTTCTAGTTCAAGCTTGCTGTTATTGGATAGAAAGAAGAAGATGTTTGGTCATTGGTGATATATCAATATAAAGTTACCAGAGGTAATAATGCTCTTTCTTACTTCACCATAAATGACTTTCCCTTGATGAATTTGAATGATCTCATCACTATTATGCAGAATTTATGGGAGATTTGAATAATGTTCAAGTTCAAGATAAAGCTTCATATATCATCATTGGGTATAGTCACATCAAAAGCTTCTTAGACTGTTATTTTACTCATCTAGTGTTAATAGACTTTGAGTTTGATGCATCTTTCAAGAAAAAACCAAAGCTTTCCAAGTCATTATTTAGAGGGGAAATAAATTATGATGATTATGAGGACAATGAAATCATCAATCAACCTCTAGGTGTTGTCTTTCAAGGAAAGAACATGAGGGAGGGAAAAAGAAATACTTCTTCCATACTGAAGATAAAGAAAGATATTCAAATTAGAATCTTTCTAGTGTCCTACTTCAAATCAACAAATGCAAGAAGAACTCAAATGAAGACAGAGCAGAGATATGGAAGATTACCGGTTGGTACATGGAAATAAGAAGAGTTTTTTTTCAAGTAAGAAAGACGCTACCTACAACTTGAAGATTCGATATTGATCACAAAGGGGAGATTGTATAATTAAATTTGTTATGATATATCAAAGTCTTAGGTAGTACTTGTAGTATTGAATAGTTTTTCAATATCGAAGGCCTTCATGACTTCGACAGTGATGTATTTTATCAGTCACTTATGTAGTTTCTCTTTAACTATCGAAGTCCTTATATATATTTTGTATCTGTCAAGTACACTACAAATAGTGTAGGTACCTAAATCACTTTTAACTTTTGAAAATTGTGCAATGTGCTTATTTTCTCTTAAAATGTACTTGTACTTCTCTATACAATATGAGTTGAATTAAGATTATATTTACATCTCGTGTTCATATTAATTTTGATTTCATATACGATTGATTACTTTAACTCTTAACTTAATCCGATTCTTCTTGTAACATCCGGATTTCCATGTATTATATTTTATCATTTACTTTTGGAGTTAAGAGAGGGACTCAACGAGTTGACGCCTAGACTCTTCGAGTAGGATTGCATATTATAGACTGATAAATGAGGAGACTCGATGAGTCGGTAAGGGTGGACTCGACAAGTCCGTGTTGACGAATGAAACCCTAAATCCTTGGGCATGTGCCCTATTTAAAGGACCTTATAGCCCTCTTGTGTGGCTACCTATCCAGAGAGAGTGCCCCTTGAGAGCTTGATCGAGTTAAGAGAGAGAGAGAGAGAGAGAGAGAGAGAGAGAGAGAGAAAGAGAGAGGGTAAGGCTATATTGATCAGTTTTTGTGTGATTTAGCAAAGGATAAGTTGTTTCCAGCAAGAGGGGGTCAAAGGAGCTATAGATCCAGGGTTTTCAAGTTCAGATCTACACTTTTGAGGTATCAAAGCGAACTTCCTTTATGTTTTGCGTTAAGATCCATGATCTCGGGTTTTCTGTAGCCTTTTTAGAGTTTGATAAGTGGAGTTTATGGTCCTTTTATATGTTAGACCTCAGATCTGGACCCATAGAGGTCTAGAGAGCCTTCTCCATTCTTCTTTACGTTGGTTTATGGATGAAAGGAGACTAGGTTTCCATGTTAGAAGGAATTTCACCAAAATAAGACTTGGGTGCAATGCATGTGTAGCAAGATTCGACCTTTAAGTGGTTATTGGCTACGGGGAAGTCAGATCTATAGATTGGGGAAGCAGATCTGACGTTAGAAGGTCAGATGGGTGTTGTCATGGGAGTAACTCACCGAGTTCATGAGTTGACTCGATGATTCGAGTCGGGGTTGCCCCACGATTCGTTACTGAGTAACCTGACGAGTGGAGAGGGGACTCCCTGAGTCGCCCGAGTGCACTCGACAAGTCTGGTCAACATTTGACCGTTGACTTCGTTGATTATTAGGGTTTAGTCAATTTTTGGACATATGAGCCATTACAGGGGTAGAATGGCCTTTTACCCTTCTTAGAGAACTTATAAAGAGGGGTTTGCCTAGCCTTTAGATGTTGTATTAATTAGAGTAATTATTATGTGATTAGGCGGAGGCTAGTGCAGAATTTCTGAGTTCGAGGTCTACTGAGTTATGTAAGGTGAGTCTTCTCACTATACTTTACCTTGAGTGGTAATCAGAGTTATGTTATAGAGTATCTTGTATGTTATTTATGTAATTTGTTGCACATCATTACTTCTATGTGACTTATATTGTATGTATATCAAAGTTCACAAAGTTAGGACCAGAGGGTCCATAGAGTTAGAGCTAGAGGGCTCACAGAGTTATAGCCTCGAGTGGCTATTATGTGTTAAATGTCGTATTTTGGGGAACTCACTTAGCATTTATGCTTACAGTGTTTTGTGTTATGTGTTTCAGGTACCAGTGAGGATCTCGGGAAGGCGCCGACATGATCAGTATACACTATTGGAGTTTTATACATTTTGATATGGGGATGTGTTTTTATGGATTTGATATGTGATATAATGAGATATCAGAATGTTTATGAATTAAAATTATAAATTTTAAAAGTGAAAAATTGTTTTGAAATTTACGTTGTTACAAGTTGCTATCAAAGCCTTGGTTTGAGGGATTCGGATGCACCTTCGAGCGCATTTGAACTCAAACTAAGCATTTGATGAATTTTTCGAAGTAAAAAAAAATTTTCTAAAAGAGTAAAAAGGTTTTGAAAAGAGCAGAGCAGAGCAGTGTGTACGATCAGCCAGCGCCTAAACGGTGATTTCCCAAAATACCCTTATATTATGCGTTATGAGATAGGAGATAATATGTTATGCATGGCCTGATTTGAGATGCCTTAGCTTAGGGGTTCTGCTGCTAGGAGATGCTTGAGAGTAAATAGATAGTAGCAAGGAGCTTATGAGAGATCTGCTAGAGAGTAGACTAGGCATAGTGAGAGTAAAGTACTTGGGATTTGGGATCCTAGGAGGAGAACTTGGGGTGAATACTAATGCAGTGTGGATGGTAGTATTGGGCCCGTACTACTGAAGACAGAGGAGCAGTGCGCAGCCCAAGTAAGAATCCTTGGGGTACCAGGGATCGAGTAGGGTTAAGTTATCGAGTGCGAGTATGCTCGATCGAGTCTCTAATATTTTTATGTTGTATTTCAGAGACATCATGGTTGGGACATGCTATAGACTGGGGACCAACAGGGTGAGTGATGAGGAACTCCGCCAGATGATCCATGAGGAGGTGGCTGCGGCTATCTGCGCAGAGATTCCAGAGATGTTCGGGTCTATTAAGACCACATTGATTGAGACTTTTGATGTGAGATACGCAACGGTTACTGAGGTTGCAGCCGCTGCAGCTACCGCAGCTGTTGCTGCTGCCAGACCTCATGGTGGTGATTCATTGTTGTTCCAGGAGCTCAGCAACACGAAGCCACCAGAGTTTGATGCGATGTAGGATCCGATTGCTTCGATGAGATGGGTTTCTGATATTGAGGTATGCTTCAATACGTGTTCATGTCCAAAGAATTTGAGGGTTCGGTTCGCGCTGAACCAACTTTAGGCAAATGCTCGTCGTACTGTACATACAAGAGTTTGTGACGAACTCGTCGTACCGGACATTTGCCGAGCTCCAGGAAAATGCTCGGAAGAGGGAGATAGAGCTAGAGACTCATACTAGGGAGGATGCAGAGTCTCAGGGGAGGGATCGGCAACCGGCTTAGTCCCAGCCGGTAGCCAACCAGGCCGAGCCCGCAGATTCGAGAGCAGGGAACCAGAATGGTTGCATTTGTGGCAAGTGTGGCAAGGGTCATGAGGGAGTGTGTAGATCAGGGTCTTGCTACAAGTGTGGAAAGAAGGGTCATATGGCCAAGGATTGCCCAAGTGGTTTTGCAATCTATTTTCACTGCAACCAGACCGGACACCGGAAGGCCGAGTGTCTGTAGTTGTGGGGATCAGCACAGGGAGCATCGTAGGGATCTGCCCCAGCTGTTGTTCGAGCTACCAAGAGTCGGCCGGTGAAGGCCAAGGCACCGAAGGCACGAGGAAGAGCCTTCCAGTTGACTGCGGAGGAGGTCCGCGCAGCGCCCGATGTTGTGGCTGGTATGTATTCTTTCATGTATTTATTATGATGTTTGAGATATTGTGCTTATATTATGATATGTGTAGGTACTTTTCTTGTGAGTTCTGTGTCTGCCTTGGTATTATTTGACTCGGGTGCGATTCGATCTTTTGTGTTATTAGCCTTTAGTCAGCACATTAATATTCGTCGAGAGGTGTTGAGTCAACCTCTGCGAGTTTCCATATCTGACGAGCTAGTGGTGTATGTAGCCGAGGTGATTCGGGGATGTGTGCTTGAGATCTTCGGAGTTGAGTTTCCGATTGATTTGGTCTCAATTGCGATGACGGATGTCTGTGTCATCGTGGGCATGGACTATTTGAGTTGAGTTGGAGCGGTTATTGACTGCAAGCGACAGCTAGTGACCATACGAGACCCAAGTGGGGGAGTTCTTACGGTATACGGTTAGGGTACCCGTTCCGGGTCAGAGTTCTGTTCAACTGCCAGAGCAAGGTAGAGTCTACAGTATGGTTGTAGAGGGTTTGTGGCTTATGTGATGGATACAAGGATTGATGCGGAGAGACCGAGATCGGTTGATGAGGTTCTGATAGTGCGTGAGTTCCTGGATGTTTTCCCCGAGAAGTTGTCGAGTGTGCCTCCCGAGAGGCAGGTAGAGTTTCGTATCGACTTGGTTGCAAGGGCTGCGCCTATTGCCAAGGCGCCCTATCGCCTTGCGCCTCCAGAGATGCAGGAGTTATCCTTGCAACTTCAGGAGCTGCTGGGGAAAGGGTTTATTCGGTTGAGTAGCTCATCATGGGGAGTGCCGAGCCTTTTTTTCAAGAAAAAAGATGGTTCACACCGGATGTGCATCGAT